TCCTTTTTCATCTTTGGACACTCCGGTTTGTATAGTCCAACTTTACCATAATTGTAGCAAGGTCCTTTACTTCTTTGCTTTTTATTCTCTTCTTGTCTTGGCTCTTTGGACTGTTTTCGAAAATTTATGATATTCTTATCAGAGTGCTTGATTCCATTCTTTCGAATAAACCTATTATATCTCCGAACAAATAGTCCCATTTCTTCATCATCATAATTTTTATCACTACTTGAGTCATTATCATTTTTCTCTTTATTTGAGTACTTGGAGCTAGAATCCATTAGAGCTATTGACTTCTTCTTACCCTCCTTGTCTTTATTCTTCTCCTTCTTACTCTTGTTTTCATATTTCTCAAGACTTTCCAGTTCTTGTTGATGTTCTTCCAGCTTGCCAAACAGAGTTGTAATGGCAAGCGTAGTGAGGTCGTTGGCTTCCTTGATAGTTGTTACTTTTGGTTGCCATTCCCTGCTAAGACATCTCAGAATTTTATTAGTAGCAATTTCATTAGAAACCGGTTTTCCAAGTGCATTTAAATGGCTTACAAGATGAACGAATCTCCTTTGCATGTCGGAGACAAATTCTCCTTGTTTCATGCGAAAAAGCTCGAACTCTTGATTGAGTGTGTTAATGCGGGATTGTTTAACTTCAGTAGTTCCCTCATGGGAAATTTCTAAAGAATCTCACGTTTCTTTAGCCGACGTGCAATGAGTCACCCTATAATACTCATCAACACCAAGTGCTGAGATTATCATATTTCTGCCTCTCCAATCGCACGACCACTTCTTTTCATCTATTTCATTCCATTGATCCTTGGGTTTAGGTACTATCGCACTTGCATCATTCCTCATAGGAATTTGAAAAGGACCATTTTGAATGGCAGTCCATACATTCCTGTCAATGGAATTTATGTGTACTCGCATGCAGTCTTTCCAGTAGCCATATTTTTCACCATTGAAAATAGGAGCTCTATTATACTCCCCATTTGGTTCAAAAGCCATAACATCACTAGTAGATACAAAGCAACAGCGAACTGGAGCTCTGATACCACTTGTTAGACGGTGTGGCAAGTGATCAAGAGGGGGGTGAATAAATCAGCTCCTTATTTTTCAAGGATTTAAAATCTTTTATCAAAGTTTGTTAAAAGCAACGAAAAAGTAAAGTCCAGAATCAACTTCCTTCTATTTTGAACCAACTACTAGAAAAGTGGACATACGATAAACTTGTTGGATTTTATTAGTATGAAATAAATGAATCTTAAACACAAATTTATTAACGTTTTTAATGCACTTATCACTAGAACAATGTTTCCAATGAATTAAAACTTGCAAGCAATTTTGTCAAATGGTTGACGTATGCTTGTTTGATGATTAATAATGGTGATTTGATGAAAGTATTTGAACCACTATTTTATCATTAAACAGAAAACTCAGCAAGCCAATTGAATCACAAAATTGCGGAAAATGTAAAGAGATAAAGAGAAAGAAAAATAATATGCAGGTAGCTTGGTAAGGAAGTTCCCCACTGTCGTCCTCGCGTGTGGGTACGTCTCCTCTCAATTCTAAAATTGAAATTGAGAACTCTTATATCAATTTTGCTGAAAGTTTGTATACAATGTTACACTACAAAGACAGAATGAAATCCATATGATCTTCTTCTTGTAAGAACCTCCACTTGATATGAGCCTATCAAGATTCCCTGCAAGATTCACAATCAATCCTCCGCTTCCACGACCTGTTTGAAAAAATCCCTCTGATTTCTAAACCCCTCACTACGGCTTAATCTGACTTGTTCGACCGTGACTAACAAACCCTCAAGAACACACCCGTTCTTGAAGGACAAACCCTTGGTTTTTCCTCGAAGCCCCCTTCTGAATCTTCAACCCAACTGAGATCCCTTGAATGAACCACTGAACGTCATTTCTTGATCTCTTGATCCAATTGAACAAAGGTGTTTGACTTTCATTGTTGTTGAATTAAGATGATTGAGAAGATGATGAAGATGAAGTATATTTCAGGCTTCTTTTTGCTCAATAATTGATGCTCACAATTGTAATAATGTGTCATGGTGTTTGTGCTGTAAAAACTTACTTATATATGTAACAGAAAACAGTTAGAAGAGAAAAAATGCATTATGAGTCGATGCATGTTTAACATGAGTCGACACATGTTAGTTATAAAACACGAGATGGGTCGATACAATCTGTTATGTATCGATACATACTAATAGTAAAACATATTACAGAGAGATCAAATATGTATGAGTCGATGCAAGGCTTTATGTGTCGATATAACATGTTTTCCATAAAGAATCCAGAACCATTCATTTTATATGAGTCGACACATAACACGTATGTGTCGATACATACTGAGTTGATTTTTTATTTTGAAAGACCAAATGTGATATGTATCGATGCATGTGTTTATGTGTCGATGCATAAAGCTTTTAAAACATTTTCCAGGAGCATCATCATGGCATGTGTCAATGCAAAGTATGAATGGGTCTACACATACTGAAGCAGAATTGTTTTTGTGATTCTTTGCTTAAGTATGTGTCGATGCATGACCTTATGTGTCGACCTGAAATTATGCTTTATGTGCAAAATACATTTTTGACTCATTATGTATTGATCCAAGACCTTATGTATCGACCTAAAGTTATGCTCTATATGTTTTGACTCCTTTTGAACATGTTATACTTTTGTCAGTTATACATACATATAGATAAAGCACTTTAAACATTCATTAATACTGTTTTCACACATATTTGCTATCATACAAAAACTACTTAAAGAAAAGGGTTGCTCACACAGTCTGCCACAACCTCTCTCTCTCTCTCTCTCCTCATCTAAGAACTTCTTCTGCACCGTCTGCCATAAACTCTCCATCTTCTCCTCCAAGAACCTTTCCAACTACTTATCCATTTGCTCCCCCAACTTAAAAACAACAATCTCTTTAACCTCTCTCTTACTCATTTTCTCTGTAGATGATTGACAACATCCCAAATATACCTTGAAGCCAATGCCTCTACCAAGACCATGGACACGCCCATGATGCTCCTCCGTTCCAATCGCTTCTACCAAGATGTCATGATAACCTTGTGAAGTGAAGAGGACGGCTTTGGTTTTTTCAACAAGATCATCCTACAACACATTAATTTATCTTTACCAAATTGATTTAACTAAAATAAATATTCTTGAAAAAAGTATCTACTTACAATCCTTCGAGCCACTTCGCACGTAGCTTCTGATGTGTACTCGTCGTCTTTTCTTTGGCGTTCCATCTTCTATTTATCGTGGCATGATGGTGGAGATGGACTTCGATCAAGACTTATAGAATCTCCCAATTATTCTTCTATTTTTTTCTTTTTTCGTCCCTCCAAATTTTTTCAATTCTTCAATATCGTCCATGAACCAACCTATGTGGATAGATATTTTTAGCTCGGGTTTCCTTTCCTTTTTGGCTCTTTGCCAATAATTTAGGAATTTTGCGAGACTCTACAAATTTCTCCCACGTAGCTTTATCAATAAATGAATATACCTCGTATAAAGGTTTTTCTTTATCTTCTCCATGTTTAATATAACCATGGGTGAGTTGTGTCTTAAACCCCCTCCAACGCTCACCATAATAAGCAAGCATTTTCTTTTTCACGTAGTCATTGTCTGGAGTAACAATGAAGTGATCATATGTTTACATAATAGAGATGTTATTAGTATTGCACAAAAAATATACTTGTAAAAAATGATAGGATACAAGATAAATACCTTAATATCAAACCATATGTCAGTTTTTAATTCATCGTCAATGTCATGCCAACTATTTATCAAAATACTCATTTTACTTCTACCTTGTAACACAATGTAACCTAAAAAATCATCAACTTTTTCACCTTCAACCATGCATGTTACTGCATCAACTCTAACCGGGTATCGAATACCAGATTCATTGGCTTTTTTCACTTTTGTATACATCGTGGCACCTCTGTTTTTCTTTTATGACTTTGTGTATTAACAGAGTTTACAGCATATGTTGTATGGGAGGTGCTTGTCGAATCGGCCATGACTATCAATAATAATGTTTCAGTCAACACAAATGGAAAATAAAGATGAAAAAAAAACAATAGACAAAGTAACGAGGAAACCATAAACAAAATGGTCAATAGACAAAGTGAAAAATTAACGTTGATAAATATACAAACTAACGATTCAGTGAAGAACAAATCTGTTGCAAAAATGACATTTGATGAATATCGCCTAGGGTTTTTACGAAATGAGAGCGGCGAACTGACGTTTGAGTGTTGATAGGGTAAATGAAAAGTTAAAAACTAGCTAGATAATTCTATGAAGTATCTCATGCAAAATAAATGTCATTTCAGTTTTACACAAAAATCGACGTGGTAGTGTTATTAAAAATATAAAATTATAAAAAAAACGTTATAGCGCCACATTCTAGGAATTCATTTAAAAGATATATCACGTTGGATATTTAAGAAAACCGAGGGGTTAAAATTTATCAAATAAAGTGTTAAAATAATATTTTGAAATTAGTATTTTGAAAATGTTAATGCAAAATATATTAAGTCTCAGTTGGATCATGTAGCCGAGGTAAATACTAATGGAACAAATAGAAAAAAATAAAAATGGAAATTGGAAATGTGTCAAGTGAAAAATACCTACTATCAATTGGAAAAAAATGCAGCAACTGAGTGTCGAAGCGGGCTCCCTTATTGATATCTCACCTAAGTTATAATAAATAACTGAGGTCTAATGTTTTTTATTTAAAAAAATTAATACAACATAGCGCTCCCAGGACCTATACTCTAGTTTTTTCATTGTTCGAGGTGTAACATTCGTCATGAAAAGCGCTATTTATTGTAGTGATTGGGAGAAGAAACTATGTTGAGGGAGACAAGTTGGAAAGCTGAAGCATTCACAGAAGACACAGATTGGAGTGAAACGGTGATGTAGAAACTTTCACAAATAGGGGGTTTGTGATAACCCAAAGATGGAGTGTATGGTGAACAATTTGCCAAATTCATGCTTAACCATTATACGCTTGTTTTGAGACTGCTTAATATGGTTTGAATGCAATATATAGAATAAAAATTATCTTTTAATAATAATACACATCGTCTTTATGCTTAAGCACTCAACGCTTTTGTTTGCATGTTCATATAAATTTGCATATTATAAATGTAAAAATAGCAACAATCAATTTCTATATATAATAAGATAAGAGTCATTGAACTATGAAAAAACTAAATTAATATAAATTAAATAAAGATTATTGATAAGGTTTATAGGTGTATAGTTTATCATTTGAATGTATTTTTTTTTTTTGTAAGAAAAATGGTATTAGTAAATGGTTGTTGAGATATAATTAAGGATTAAGTGTAAAAAATAATAAAACTATATACTGATTTAGTATATTTAGTAAATTATTAAAAGTTTGTTGTGTTATAAAAAGGTTTAAAGTGAAAAGGATGGTAAAAAAAATACATACAAAATAGTTATGATTTTGTTTGTTAGTGTTACTAAACTAAAAATGATATGAAATTTTATTTTATTTTTGTATGTTTTGGTAAAGTGGTGGTTAGGTGATGACACTTAAGAAAAATTTCTTTCGAGTATATATATATATATATATATATATATATATATATATATATATATATATATATATATATATATATATATATATATATATATATATATATATATATATATATATATATATATATATATATATATATATATATATATATATATATATATATATATATATATATATATATATATATATATATATATATATATATATATATATATATATATATATATTCGAGTATATATATATATATATATATATATATATATATATATATATATATATATATATATATATATATATATATATATATATATATATATATATATATATATATATATATATATATATATATATATATATATATATATAAAAATTAAAATACTTAGCACCACGGTTAGTAAAAGAAACAATTGTGAAATACATTACATTTCATCAAGGTTTTTATAATACAATTGTAATGAAATATTTTATTTATAATAAGCAAATTTAACTATCACTTCTAAACAGAATAAGCGTCATCTCTCTCAATGCAAAAATCTAATATTCTCTATTTTTCTTCTTCTTCCATGTTCCACATGCAGAAATCACCATTCTTCTTCTTCTTCTTCTTCTTCTTCTTCCATGTTCCACATGCAGAAATCATCATTCTTCTTCTTCTTCTTCTTTCATGTTCCACATGCAAAAATCGTCATTCTTCTTCATACTAAAAGGTAATCATGTTCGACGCTCTTTATTCATTATCTTTCTTCATTTTCTTCTGCATAGGATTTCTTCAAATTTTTTTTGTATACGTTCTAATTTTTATCACCATTAAAGAACTTTCAAGATACGACATTCCTCGAACTAGTCATTTCATTTGGTGTTATAGAACTATTATTATTGATTTTTAGTCTATTATTATCAAAAAAATTTATAAATATTTTGATAATTTTTCAGGGGATAAACTTTAAGAAAAATATCATCGTTTGCAATTTTCAGGGATTTATCCCCTTACAAATGATAAAGCATTTACATTTTGCTTCGACCTAAACCCCAAGCATTTACATTTTTTTGGTCTTGAACTCTGTTGTGGGTTATTTACCGTCCTATTTAACTGATTTTGGTGGTTGCTACTATCTAGTTATATTTAGTTGTTCACTTGTGAGTCATATTGCAGTTTATTGTTTTGGTAGAGATGTCACACACATGTTTATTTTTTTTGGTTGTTAGATTTTGAAATTTTAGGATGTATTAAAAGTAAACAAAGGCTTTCATATTACTTTCAAGTTTGTATCAATTTCTTTTTCTAATATACTTTGTTAGTTTGTAAGATTTATTAGTTTTTTAATACAATTGAAATTTTATTATATGGCAAATTTTTATTAAAAATATGTAATTTTAATAATAACAAAATAGTGAAAAAAATTGAACGAAAAAGTAAATTTTTTGTAGTGCTCTTTCATATGCAATCCACCAGAATCTAAAAAACATTATGGTAGAAATTGGAAGTTCTTATGAATTGAAACTGACTCAAAAACGGCTACCTTTGCCCTATAAGAATCCTCAAATTGTTCCTTGGCAGCTTCATAACAAATGGAGCAACTTCATAGCCCTATCTAAATGTGAACCTAATAGTATAAATACCTATTAAAAAACGAACATTTTTTTAAATGATATGAACACATATATATAATATATATGGACAAAATAATAATTTTTTGAGTTTTATCTTATATAATAAATCTTTAATTAAAGTGCAAGTCGAAATTAAAATATGAACTTATTAATATAAATAAATACCTTTTAAAAGTGAATAATATATTTTAATAACATAAATACATATATAATATATATTATGTATATGGATAGAACCATTTTATGAAATTTATCTTATATAATAAATCAATAAATCTCTTAAAAATACATTTAAAAACATAAATAGAAAGTGAATCCCGTGAGATATCCATAAAATTTATAACAAGAAACCAGTGTTAGTGTGCCACAATAAATTTAATTGTAAACTAATAACATAATACCTTAAAAAGGAATAATTTTTATAAATAATATGATCACATATATAATATATTATATAAAAGGACAAAAACCATATATAATATTTGGTGAAACGAATTCGAAATGTAAACTTAGTATAGTATCAATATACATTTAGAAAGGAATGATTCCTTCAATCAATACAAACTAGGTATAAGATATGTTTATTGTGCCCAAATAATTTTTTATAAGAAATTTATCTTATATATAGAATGATTTGCATAACTGACCAATTCCTTTTTTTTAATTTTACAAGGTTTATATATATGTGTGTAAATTGTGAAGGAATGCATTACATTTGATTCAAATGCTAAAGTATTTTTTAATTTAATTATTATGTCTCATTCTTATACAACTATCATCTATACTTTGATCTTTTTGATTGTATTCTTCACTTTTGTTGTAGAGAATACTAATGGAAAGGTTATAGCTAATGTGACAGTTGCTGCTGATAGAAGTGGAAATTATACTACAGTGATGGAAGCTGTAAATGCGGCACCGGATAATAGCATGACACGTTATGTAATATCTATAAAAAAAGGAATTTACGTAGAGAAGGTTTTTATCAATGAAAAGAAGTGGAATATCACTATGATTGGAGAAGGTATGGGTGCCACAATCATAACTGGTAATATGAGTTGTGGTCAAAATAAATCAAAAGAATGTACTTACGACTCGGCTACCTTTTGTAAGTCCTATAAACATTTCAGAATCCCTCTTCAATTTTATATTTCCTTTTTTGTTAATGTTTTATTTTGTTTTATGAAGCTGTCATTGGTCCAAGATTCATAGCACAGGATATTTCTTTCTGGAACACTGCTGGTCCAGAAAATTGTCAAGCATTGGCACTCAAATCTGACTCCGACTTCTCTGTCTTTTATAGAGTTGAGGTTTCTGGTCATCAAGATAGTTTATGTGTCAACACTAATCGTCAGTTTTATAGAGAGTGTAAAATTAGTGGCTCGGTTGACTTTATCTTTGGATATGCCACCGTAGTATTTCAAAATTGTACAATATTAATTAAAAAAGGGAAACCAGGACAAGAATACACAATCACGGCTCAAGGAGGATACCTAGGAATACCAAGTGGATTTTCGTTTCAATTTTGCAATATATTAGCAGATTATGATCTTTTACCCTTAATTAATTCAACCTCAGCATTTCTTGGTAGACCATGGAAGCAAAATTCTACAACAATTTTTATGCAATCAAACATAAGTAATGTGTTGAGTCCGAAAGGTTGGTTAGAGTGGGAAGGTGCTCCCGAATATTTAGATACATTATTTTATGCAGAATATATGAATTATGGGCCAGGAGCTAACACAACAAAACGAGTGAAATGGTCAGGCTATCATTTATTGAATTCTTCTCAGGCTAATAACTTCACGGTGGCCAACTTTATTTCGGGAGATCAATGGTTACCTTCAACAGGAATACCGTTTACTAGTGGATTAGAGAATCAAATTATCACTTAATAGAAATTATAAAGCTTACCTGTAATTTTTTCTCCTATTTTGATAATTTTTAACTATTAATTTCTTTATTGTAATAGTTAGTTTTATGATCTTTAAACTTTATATTATTTAATATTTGATTGGTCTCTCTCCATTTATTCACATGTAGAATTGATGGAATTAATAATTAGGACTAAAATTTTGTTTTTAATGACGTGTCTAAGATAATTTATTAATTTATTATTTATTTACATAATTAATTAATCTTTTTTAATTAAATTTTGGTTTAAATAATCTTCTATCTATGTAAGTTAGTGAAGTTTTGATTTTAGCCCTAAATATTTTTTTGTTCAAATTCTTATATCTCATTTTTTTATTAACGTTCAGATGTCAAAGTTATGTTTTAATTATAAAACTGTTAAATGATAAAAGTTTCACAAGATGATCTCGAGGGTTTTTGAACCCTGTTCATAGTTTTAATAACTATCCACCACACATTTGTTTAATAATTACAATGCATATGTATATATTACATAAACATATTATTTAGATTTTTTTTTTTGCAATAATCAGATATTAAAAAAAATCACAAATAATCACGTTTCAGAAAAAATTACGCAAATAACCATGTTTCAGATGACTCCTCAAAGGAGGAGTAATCTCACTTGGCGCCTCCACCTAGGGTTTTGTCCTAGGCGCCATCTCACTTGGCGCCTCCTCTCACTTTTAGCCAAGTGAGATGGCGCATGCACTTTAAAAGAGAGAGGAGGCGCCATCTCACTTGGCTCATAGGGCAAAACTAGGGCAAATGCTGTTTTTATAAATAATTTATCCGTTTCTCCGTCATTTCTCACACTTTCTCGCACTGTTTTGTTATTTTTTACTCTGTTATTTGCGTCATGACATCACCCATGATTTTTACCAGAGATGATTACGTTATCTTCTCCGCCACGAAACCTGCGATGAAAATGAAATTCTGGCACATTCACTCCATGGAGCGTCTGAAGCAGGAGTTGATGCGATGGCTAGATGGAGACATTGCGGAGGGGGAAAAAATTCGAAGGATCCAGCGAAGACGAACAACAACCTCACATGCGACAGGAAGACCTAATGTATGGTTGGAGGAAGTCAAAACAGACAGCGATGTAATGTTGATGATGCATGGGTCAGATGAAATTGTTTTAATAGTTGTAATTTCGTAGATGGAATATCATGTTTTTTTCTTGTACGCGCAATATTTATTGTAGCAAATACTGTTAACGAAAAACCCTAATATTTACAACATGATTAAGGAAAGATTTTATGTATTACAATTTTTATGTGGTCGAGGCAGACGCCTGATTCAGACAATTTTTGCGATTGTGTCCGACCTGACGACATAAACCACACTTTCTTTCCCGCTTATCAAGTTCGTCCATTTGTGTTGTGATGCGCTTACTTTTGGGATGACCCTTTTTGTTCCTTCGCATTTGGTCATTGTGCCACACTATTTCGCCGTCGTATGCAGGCCAATAATCTGGTTTTGCTACCAAAGGAAAGATGTTGTTGTAAACGTTGAGCAACGTTTCAGATTTGTAAATGTGTGACAGAAGTTGTAGCGCGTCTTGATGGGTATAAGCACAAGAGAAAATGACATGAGAGCAAGGCATACGAAATGCTTGAAACTTGCCACAATCGCACCAACGAGAAGGTAGTATGACCCTATATTCTTGTCTTGGCAGGCCTTCATTATGGTCGATTGTTTCTTTCACAATGAAGTTGTGGCTGTGTCGGTCAAACCGTATAACCATATGAGTGTTGGCTTTGGCACTTTCTTCCTTAATGTACTTCATGCAGCTTTCACTCCATAGTTGTCCAGATTGCAACACCGCATTCCACATTTCACCTCTTTTGGCAAACAACGAAGCCATCCTAAAATACGTGGATTTTACCAATGCAGTGATCGGGAGGTTTCGTATGCCTTTGAATACCCCATTCATCAATTCAATAAGATTCGTTGTCATGTTCCCCCATCTTTGGCCATTGTCGTATGACCTAGTCCATTTTTCCACCGGAATATTGTCGATCCACCTACCGGCTTCCGGATTTGACAAACGGATCTCGTTGCGGTAATATTTGAACGTGGGTTGTGTCAATGCATATCCCGCATTCATAACCGCTTTCCTTAGTGTTTTGTCCTTGATCTCCCTCGTGAAATTCTGGACGGTATGCCTAACGCAATAGACATGCATAGAAGGAGGGTCATGCCAACCGTTTGCAGGATTATTGTAGGCACTTTCAATGGAGGCATGTCTGTCCGAGATCAAATAGAGATCTGGCTGAGGAGCCACGTGTGTTCGCAGGTTTTTCAGAAAAAAGCTCCAAGCACCACCGGTCTCCCCCTCGACTAGGGAAAAGGCAATTGGGAAAATGTTGTTGTTGCCATCTTGTGCAACTGCCATCAGTAGCGTGCCTTTGTATTTCCCATACAACCAAGTCCCATCAATTTGTATAATTGGTTTGCATGAGGCAAACCCTGTGATGCAAGGTTGAAATGCCCAAAACACTCAACTTATTCCGTTTCCGTTTAGTTGACTACCATCTTGGGCGTATGCTGGCACTGTTTCCAGAACGTAAACAGTACCCGGAGAATAAGTCTTGAGTGCATTCAGGTAGCGAGGAAGTTCTTGGTATGACTCCTCCCAGTTTCCGTAAACCTTTTCAATCGCCTTAGTCTTTGCTAACCACACCTTACGGTAAGACGGAGTATAGTTAAAAACCGTGGTGATGTGGGAGATGATGGTTTTAACCTTCAAAGATGGGTTGTTGCTGACCAGTGGTAGGATTTATTGACAAATGAGATCGTAATTAAGTTTTCGGTGGTCCTGTGATTGGGTAGAACTTACACAAGTATGGGTAGTCATGGAACCTATGACCTAGCAATCACCTCTTAATCTGTATGATACAGTGAGCTTGAACATACAGTCAGGGTGGACACACTTGATCTTGTACCTTTCTGGGTTGACACGGTCCACCTTAAAATCGACCGAGTTGAGCATGTGGAATTTTTTTATGGCTCTGATGCATTCCTCTCTATTACGAAACGTGTCCTTCTCTTTTAAGTTTTCATCCGACTGCATATACGGATTGAAAAATAAATCAGTAGACGATTCATCTCCGCCCATGTTGAAGTTTGTCATGTGCGGAGGTGGTGTGTAGATCTCGTTTGCAGGAATACTAGATATGCCATCATCGTCAGAATCATCATTCACCATTTCATCAAACTCTAACTCGTCATCTTCTTCATCTTCATCAACTGCATCTACCTCAGCTTGTTCGTTCTCCAAAGGATCAACCACTTGTGTCACATGAGGCTCTCGCAGCATAATGTACAACTCAATAGAGTCGTACCCATAATACACATGGCTGGAAAACATATTCTGAAGATCCTCGTCATCTTGAACCTCAACCTTATAAAAAATTATTTGGTTGTTTCCAAAAAAAAACTGGATTCTGATAAAATATATGTGTCACCGGGCCTCGTCCAAGTTTGGCCTCTAATCGTTTTTTGAAGTACGAGAAATTGGCTTTCCCATTTAAAAGAAATCGGATGTTGTCTGTGTCTCTAAACAAAAACCCAGAGGTGGGACAAATGTATGTCTCACCGTTGAAATATGCATTGATGACATATTGGGGTGCAGAGGCCATTGCGTAGGGTTGTTTAAAGGTTTGAAGGTTGGAATGTTTGAAGTTTATGAGTTATTCGAAGGTTTGTATGTTTGATTGTTTGAAGGTTTAAAGGTTTGATTATATGAAGGTTTGAAGGTTGGAAGGTTTGACAGATTAAGTGAATCAGTGTTATGATAAATGTAAGACTAAATAGGTCATACTGAATTTGAATTAAGTAAGGATGTAACCCCCAAGGCTGCCAATAGTGTTACATGCACTCAGGCATGGCATCCCAAAGGCTGTCACGTAGCCTGCGCCTACTCTGCAACCCATGACACCTCTTATTCGCCAATGGGGATGGCGACACCTTTCATTTTTGTACTCTTTTTCCAAGTCCAATGGCGCATTCCTTAATGTCCAATCGTGTTACATGCATGCAGATATGTAACCCCCTAGGATGCCACCTAGCCTGCTGTTGTACCCCAAAATTTGCCCTCCCATTTCCTCAACATTTTCTCATCACAAAACCCTTGGAGCTCAAGATCCAGTTAGGGTTTCCTCTGCTCAAGACTTCTCCTTGCATTGTGGATCCAAATTAGGGTTTGTGTTTGAACAAAGATATTTTGACCTAAAATGCCTAAGATGACTTTCATGCTTCATGTTGGACTCCCAAGTTTATCCATACCAAGTTTCAAGTCTTGATTCCAAATTTTGCCCAGTCAATTGGACAGTTGACCTAGAAATCAGCTGTATTGGGGGAAAGTCAACTGTGGCCAATTGACAGTCAAATCTCATGAAAATTGACCCACTTCAACATTATAAACTCACATGTACCATTTGATCAAGTTTGGATCACAATTCCACAAGAAATTTGATCAGATCACCAAAAGGGCAAAATGGTCATTTTTAGGGTTTTGACTGCACAAAGGCAATTCTTGACTGTTTGACCTAGCCAATGGAAAATCAAGCTCACATATGGACTCAAGGACCCCATGGAATTATCTTGACATGCTCAACAAGTTCAAAAGATCCCAAATACACAAAATTGACAGTTGAATTTCCCAGTCAATTGATCAATTTTGACTGTATACTGAAAAGTCAAACTTTGACTTTTTGGTCAAAATCAAGTGTCAAGATTCATTTTTGATCAAAACATGCCAAATCATGAAACTTGTTCATCAAGAAATCAAGAATTGCAAATTAGGGTTTGAAATGAAGATTTTTCATAACTTAGAATTTTTCTAAGTTATGAAAAACCCTAATTTTTTTCTAACTTTGTCCCACTTTCTCACCAAGATTCATTTGGATTCAAGCAAAAGTAAAAACATGAAAGTTGTAGCCTATTGCAAAATCTACAACTTTGATTCACAAAG